AGGATGCCTAGATACCGTGCACGGGTCTCCCGTGTCTCCCATGTCATGTCTGCCTCGAGGACATTGAAGCTGTGGAACTTCCTCCTCCGACAGCCACCAGCCAATTGTTTTCTTCCAATTAATCTTCATTTCTGATGCGAGTCTGAATGCTTCCATTGCTCTTACTAATGCACTGAACGACGAGTCTGAAGCTCTTATGAGGATCGTGAGGTCGTCTGCAAACATTATTGCTGTCGGCCCGTGTTGGGAACTGTAGGTGGTTGGCTGTTCCTACATTGACCTCTGGTAGCAGCCTGTGTATGGAGGGATCTTTGAATAGAGACGAGGCTTAGCCTATTGCTTCCATCACGAAGAGGAGGATTGAGGGGTTTAGCGGGGGTCCCCTTGGCAAACTGACTGAGAGATTGGATAGCAGTCAGAGAGCAAGCCATTGACTTGGACGCACCCTGTGGCGTCATTATACAGAATGTGGACCCACTTCCTAAAATTCAGGCCCGCTCCCATATTTTCCATGCTTGCATTGAGAAAGGCCCAGTTGATGTCAGTCATTTCCCTATCGCTCATTTTCCTTGCAGATTAGATAGAATTAGATTAAGATTAGGGTACCTAACAATAAATTAGATAGATTAAGAGTACAGTACGGTACAGTGCAGTACAGTAAGGTGCAGTAGAGTAAATGGAGGAGAGAAGAGTTGGAAAAAAGTAGAGCATAGTAGAGCAGATTGGAATAAAGTAGAGTGGAGTATATTGGAGTAAGAGAATAGACTTTAATAGAGGTATAAATTAGATTACAATAGTATGGGGTATATTAGATTAAACTAGGTAAAAGGTTAGATTTGAAAAAGGGTAAGATTATATCAAATATACCATGCCACAATGGTTACGATCCGGACGTCCGAACCACAGTGCAGACAGTCTGCATCTAGATGTCCGGGTCTGGTGTCCGGGTCTGGTGTCCGGGTCTGGTGTCCGGGTCTGGTGTCCGGTCCAGAGCGTGCGGATCCATCCGCCAACCCCCACCCCCAAAAAAAAAAACGACTTCTAAAAAAATTCAAAAAATGATTTAAAAATCTGAAAAAAAGATATGTTATGCAGGTCCTTCGGGACATCCGTTAAAATTGGAACGATACAGAGAAAGAAGATTAGCATGGCCCCTGCGCAAGGATGACACGCATAAATGGAGAAATGGTCCAAAWAAAAAAAAAAAAAAAAAAAAAAAAGATGTGTTATGCATTGCAATACAAAAATCTTCTGGCTGAGGACCATCTCGAAATTCGTAGCCAAATCCAACGGGGGGAAAAAAAAAGAACGTTTTTTTTTAATTAAAAGGAGGGTTTTTTTTTTACTTTTTTAAAGTGTTTCAATCTGGACGGTCTGGAGCAGTGCAGAAACAGGTTCGGCCGGACGTCTGGACTGGTCCGGTGTTCGAGTCTGGGGTAACCATGAAATATATTAGGTCAGAAATGTAGTAGAGTATCGTACTTATATTAGATGATAATTAGAATAGATATAAATCATATAATTAGATTACAGGTTAGATGAGATTAGATCAGTTTAGATAAAGAGTAGAGAAGATCATAAACTAGGAGATCAAGATCAGATTCGATAAGGTAACACTAGAGATGATTATAACATCAGATAAGATTAAAGTAGTCCAACGGGCGCTCCAGAAGGTCGCTGCACCTTCTTTTGTTGGCATTAACAATTGCATTCCTTGCATGAAATTGCAAACCGCTTGGGCACATCTGTCATGCAGGTGCGATGAGACTCTGTGTGGGCAACAACCGTATGCATGCTTGCTAAGACGCTCTGTCGTGATCGGTTGTAAATGCCTGACTAAAGGTAGCACGTATGCCTATAGGTTTGAAATCCTCACCAAGTGAAAAAAGAAAAAAAAAAATGCAGAAGTGGAGTGGATTCAAATTTCAACATCTTCACCACTGCAGCGCTTTCTGGATCTTCAGCCTCCTCCAGTCACGATCCTGACGTGTGCTGACGTGGCGAAAACGCTCAGAGCGAAGGTTCAAGATTCCGACCGAGTAAAACACCGGCAAAAGGGGAGTGGACTTGAAATCTTCAGCATTTTCGCCGCTCAAGCGCACTTCAGGATCTTCAGCCTCCCTCCCGTCAAGATCCCGAAGTGTGCTGAAGTACTGAAAATGCTCTGCCCTGTTCCCCATTTTCACCACCATTAGCATTCCCTTTCCTTGAAACATTGCAGTCTACTGAAGTGGTGAAAAAAATACTGAAGGGACAGGACTCGTCCCGTGTGGCTCAGTAGTACACCCATGAACTGTCGATACGCAGACAAGAGTTCGAATCTTGAGACGAGTTAGCTCGATACTAATACCTCAAGACATAGTTGCGGCGCACCTCGGTGCGCGGAATTGCGCACGAATTGCGCACCACACGCAGCGCACCGCACAGCGCACCAAAGCGCAGCGCACTTGGAAAATTAGGTCCAAAAAAAAAAAAAAAAGTAGGGGTTTCATAATTTCTTAGGGCCCCCAACTCGGCAAAAATGTTAAACTCACCACGCAAGCTCGCAAACAAGCCGCGCCCACGGCCCAAACTTTTCTTTTGGGTAAGGGCTGCCGAAATTTCAATTTGCGCAGGCCCTTCCCCCGAAAGTTTCAGAATAGTGAGGGCATAAAATAGGGCTCATTCCAACTTTTATTTTAGGTGGGGTACGAAAGCTGTCCTTCCTGCTGCCTTCTGCAAATCCCGCACAGTAGTGGGGTAAGTTCGCAAGAAGGGGTAGTCGCCTAATAACGACCTGCCCCGCGAAATTTCGCAGAATTCACAAATTAGTAATTACACGTTCCATTGCCAGCCGACCTCCAATATACGCTGAAGATTGGCGTTCAGGTCCGCATGTCCGCAGTTGTGGGTCAGGATGAAGATGCCCGTGGCTCTCTCGTTTTTTTGTTTTTGTTTTCTTACGAATACTTCAAGTGGGGATGCACAAAAGACATAGCATATGGCGGTGTATGGTTCCATGTTTTCGCAGAAGATTCATTCTACTAATATTATATACATTTGGTGAGTGGTGGAGGGAGGCCCTGAGAATCACGTGTAGACACGAACAGGGTCTACCTGAATTGGTGACCCATAACTGCCGAGCTACAGCCCTGAACTCGAATCCACGGCATATATTGGTGGTCTGCCCACATCTTTCCCACATGTGATGAGACCATCCTTCTCATTGAAGCTGGCCCTCGATGGCTCCACATGTATTGTAGGAGGTACCTGCAGGGGGCCTCGAATTGACGTGAAGGGGACCTTTTGTTCTCTCTCTCTCTCTCTCTCTCTCTCTCTCTCTCTCTCTCTCTCTCTCTCTCTCTCTCT